CCGCCTCTTCCCGTATGATCCCCCCCATGCCCTTTGGTCCTCTGGGAGGAATCTGTTACAGCCAATAAAAACTAGGCTGTCTCAGACTTCCCAGAGGACCTTTTCTGCGGCAGCTCCCAGGCTATGGAATGGCCTGCTGGACGAGATCCGTCTCATTACTACGCTTACTGCTTTTAAAAAGGCAGTGAAGATGGATGTCTTCCGGCAGGCCTTCCTGGAATAACATCTGCCCTAGGGAGATGAGCTTTCAGTTTTCATTTTTATCCTGTCCCCACTGTGTCTGATCTTTTTTATTGTTTGTTGTTTTTATTGCACTATAGCATTTTAATCCTTTTCTAGTTGAATCCCGTTTTAAGGGGTTGGGAGGGCTGGATTGGGATGAGGGAATGTTTTAATTTTGTCTGTTTTAAATGCTGTAACCCACCCCGATAGTTGTGCAGAGGGGTGTGCTATAAATAAAAATTATTATTATTATTATTATTATTATTATTATTATTATTATTATTATTATCTGCCCTGGCTCAATGCTATGGAATCCTGGGAATGGTAATTTTGTGTGACATTTAGCCTTCTCTGTCAGAGAACTCTGGTGCCACAATAAACAACAGTTCCCAGGATTCCCTAGCACTGAGCCAGGGCAGTTCAAGAGATCTCAGACTGGATTATTTCTGCAGTGTGTTTTGGACCTGAGCGACTATTGCATTTTGAAATCAGTTTGCAGCAATTGATGTAAACTGTGAACAAAGGGGGAGGGGAGTGGGAGGAAGGGAGAGAATCTGAGCCAGTTTAATAGCTAGAAAAGTATAAGACAGAAGGGACTGTCCCTGCCAAATTGGGACAGTTGGAAGTTATCATAACTCTATCCTCAAAAATGAAAGCTGGGAAACATGTGGCCAAGCAACACCAGAGTGTGGTCAGGATAGAGAAAGTTATTCAGTTCTCAACTTTTCTCAGGAGTTTGTCACATGGGGACAATTGGAAGTATAAATGGTGATTAACCCGTCAAAATAGTGCATTCACATTTAACATTTTCACACGACATCATGTTCAAAGCACAATTATCCCAGGAATATTCTGTGATAATCGTGCAATTGCATTAATGGTTTTCACACGACGTTGTGATGAAAAGTGATTAGAGTGCCATTATCCCATGAATAACCAGGCAATAAACAGCAATAAATCATTCACGGGATTTTACCGTGAATGATTTGTTGCTGTTTATTGCCTGGTTACTCCCCGGTTATTCCCAGGATTATGGCTCTTGTGTGTGAAAATGTTAATCGCATTTTAATCTCGATTGTGCAATTTTGACACATTAATCACTATTTATACTTCTAATTGTCCCCCATGTGATGAACTTCACAAATAAAAACTGGGACACATGTGGCCAAGCAAACCCAGAGTATGGTCAAGATGGGGAAAGTTAATGAGGATGAACAGAAAAAACTAAGAGAAGCTTCAGCAATTTGCTTTTGCCTGAGCCTACTGGGAAAGGCAAGATTCCACACCTTCCTTTCCTTTTCCCTCTCCTGATTTAATTGAATTCAAACTACTTGTGCATTTTCAATTCAGTTCGGAGCAACTGAAGTAAGCTGACAAAGTGGGAAAGGTAGAGGAGTAGGAGGAGGAAACTGGGACATTTTAGAAATGAGATGATAGAGAATGAATCAGGCTGTCCTTGACAAAATGGGACATTTGGAAAGTATGAGCCCAAACCAAGATACTACCTCCATAGTATCTATAACTGAAATTTCAGCCTAGGTGGAGATAACCCTGATTTGGAGGGATTTTGGTTTTGCTCGCAGGCCACCCAGATAAGATGGCTGTCCGAATCAGTCAATGACCATGAGAACCCCCCCCCCCCCGTTTAACATCTGCAGTTTGCCAATACACAAAAAGATGTATTTTCTTTTTTAAAACTGGCCTGAATGCTGCTCTGTGTCCAATTTATTATAATTTTGTGAGGCCTGAAAGACTTGGCCATTGGTATGCTGTGGTTCCATGAGATTTTGAAGGGTAGGCTGCTGCCCACTAAATTCTTGGGTTCTAAAAGTTAATTCCAACATGAAATACTGCCTCTTAATCTTTGGCTTCAGCACATGACAAACTTTCCAACTTTGGGAGCTTTTAGAAACTGGTAAGATGCTGTAACTCGTCAATAAATATGATCTATATGTGTCTAAGCACTGCCCCAGACCTGCCATTACACTTAATGGCCTGTATATGTTTCCATTTCTATTGTAACTATATATATATATAATCTCAGAGGTTGGTAATTCATCCATAAACATTTCCTCATGGCTGAAACTTGGTATGCACCATCAACCAAGGAATATTTTCTTTAAAATAAAATCTGTTTTGACATGAGGTTTACAGGTCTAGGGTATTATAAATAATTTTTTTTTAAAAAAGGCAAAGACTTCTTGTTTGAATGCTGGATAGCTTTGCAGGATGGGGAATCATCTATGCCTGGCATTGATACTTGACTAGGAGGAAAGCCATAGCTCCATGGCAGGATAATTTGGGCATTTTCCATTCCGTGTGTGTGCCCATACATGTGTGCGCCTGCAAATACCCCTTCTAGCTTGTTAGACAGTAATGATTTATGCATTATCCAATGTTGTTAAAATCTATGTGGACTTTTCTTTTCCCTTAAATGTTTATGAAAGGCAGATTCCAAACAGTTTGGCTGTGTTCTTGTTTGGATCCATTCCAATTCAGTTTCTGGTCTGACTGTTGTGATGGAAACAGACTTGGTCACCTAGTAGATGACTTTCTCTAGGGCAAGGGTAAACAAATTCTAAGGGTCCAGGCTCCGTTTTGGTTCTTCTGAGTTGCACCCCTTCTTCACCCACCCTAGTCCCACACACCCCAAATATTTCCCCCCGCCATGGGAAATTCTACCTGTCCAATGTGCTTTCTCTCTCAGTCTCTCTTTCTGTCAGAGGGAGGCATAACTTGCCAATTAAAGGTAAGGTTTCTCCCCCTGTGGAACTGTTTTAGGTCATAAATGATTCTTTGACTACAGAATGTGACTGTCTAGTGAGCCACATAGTGGTGGGGAGCATACTTTGCCCCTCGCTATTCTGGAGGGCTGATAGGGGAGTGCGTCAAGTTTGTTTCTCTGGATGTTTGGCTCCCATGCCTTCCATGTATCCTGATTTGATAGCTGTTGTTGTCAAACCTGTATCGTGGGGTTTTCTTGGCAAGATTTCATAGAATCATAGACTCATAGAGTTGGAAGAGAC